TCAATTCCCCTTAAAAAATTATTTCTCCTGTTTCTCCTCCGTTAACAGCTTTAATAAACGTATATATACATACACCAGAGCTGTCAACGAAATTTTCCCTGATTTTCTCTAATGTTTCCCTAAGAGTAGACATACAACCACTATTTAAAGAAAAAAAATCTTAAAAAAATTTAACCAAAGATCCGTTTATTGGGCGTACAGCGCCCGATCACTTTATTCATACAATTAGTGTAGGACGTCATTTCTATGCTACTTTTTGCATCTCCAATTGTTTTTGCGCGACACTTCCTGTATTTATATCAGTGAATAGATTGAGCTACAGCTATATTAGTGCTATTTTCACAGCTCCTATTCATAGGCGCCATTTGCGACTTTTAGATACAATTCCGAACGAAATGTTCAAAATGTAAATAGAACAATAGTCTTATTGATTTTAGTATTTTTTTGCATAAACAAATCAATAGGTCTATTGTCCGGAATTGTATCATAAAATCGCTTTCCGTATGCGTTGTTCACAAATAGCACCTATGAATAGGAGCTGTGAAAATAGCACTGCTATAGCTGTAGCCCAATCTATTCACTGATTTATATTGACATACACTTGTACTTGTTGTAATAGGCAATACACGGATCTAAGGTTAAAAATTCTATTCTTTATTTAATTCATTAAACTCACAAAAAAAAACAAATAAAAAAACCGTTATGGGTTAATTTTGAATGCAAGACACCATTCAGTCTTTGAACAGACGTTTCCTGCGGTTGTTGTATTATTTCCTTCCGTCTATAAGGAGTGTGTGTACTTTCTTTTTAATTCTTTATTTTCCTGCGGCTGTTGTATTTGTTTCTTCCGTTTTCTGCCTGTCAAAGATTTTGCTTATAAAAACACCAAGAATTGTCTTATATATAAGAAGGATGCAACTACATTGCATACGCGAATTATAATTTTCATAAATGAAGTCAATTCCCCTTAAAAAATTATTTCCCCAGTTTCTCCTGCGTTCAAAAAGTATAAATAGAACGCGCATTGAGTGCTTCGTCATTCATTTTGTGTTTGACTCTCATTCGCAAAGCAACAATAAGGAGGAACTGGAAAAAGGAAAAACAAGAATAAGGAGAAATGGCCCGTACAAAGCAAACCGTACGTAAATCAACTGGCGGAAAGGCTCCACGTATGCAGAGGATATCCAAAGCCGCTGGTAAAAGCGAAAAAGGTACCGGAGGTGTGAAGAAACCACATCGTTATCGTCCAGGAACAATCGCTCTTCGTGAAATCCGTCGTTACCAGAAGTCGACCGAATTATTGATTCGCAAATTGCCGTTCCAACGTTTGGTTCGTGAAATCGCTCAGGATTTTAAATGCGCCTTGCGTTTCCAAGCAGTTGCAATTGGCGCTTTGCAAGAAGCCAGCGAAGCCTACTTGGTCGGTTTGTTTGAAGACACCAACTTATGCGCCATCCATGCAAATCGTGTCACCATTATGCCGATGGACATCCAACTCGCTCGTCGTATCCGAGGCGAACGTGCTTAAGCGAACAAAGAAATGAAAAAAATTCGAACAAATTCAACAAAATAAAAAAAATACAAAAAAAATAAAAAAAAAATATTTTATAAAGAAATATTAAAAAATCATTTAGGTGAATTAAATTGAGAAAAAACACACTAGCTTATTGCAACCGAACACATTTTTTTGGTGTTGTTGTTGTTTCATACAAATCAAATGCCATACAATGGAGCAGTTAGAAAGTAATAAAATCAAATGACTGGCAATGAATTTAAATAGAAAAAAAAAATAACGATTAACCGAAAGGAAACACATCTTCGTATATTGAAAGGGCCGTATTTTTTTTGTGTGTGTATATAATTTAAGTATGTGTGCATGCAACCGCACATATGCCACCACATCGCATCATTACATTGTCGAATGTGAATTTTGTTTATTTGTATGCAGTTCACATAACAGTCGACCCAACCTGAAACATATACGAAATTACGTACACCACCAATGACAGCTACGCATGTGAACGGTAGCGGTTGGATGGTGTATGAACTATCACGCATCGCCCCCTTCATATCCATCCCCTCCTCCTCCGGCATACAAAAAGTCCTATTAATATTGTACAATTGACTGATCATCGCTCACCTCCCACATAATATCATTCCTCCCTGACTGTAAAATCATTAGCTCGTATAATAATCAAGTTTATAATAATCAAAAATAAAATGCAAAGATACAATTCAATTTTGAATGGAAAATAAATGACTCAAGCCTTTCATTGCATTCACTTCACCCACACACACATCGTTGGAAAAGTATCTGCTTGTTTTTGCGCAAGTAATCTGGCGAGATATGAATTTAGAAAAAAAAAACAATTTTTAGTTTTACTTCAAGAATCACTTCCATATACGTCAATCGATTGATTATATGAAAAGTAAACAATAATTTTCTTGCAAGTATGAAATCATCCACTCTAATCGATCTTATTTTTGAATATTATCATCGTACGATTCACGTGTATATCTTTCACGTGTACATTCCTTTCACCAAAAAAATACTAATTCCAACCATTTCCAGAGCTACAAAAAAATAAAACGAAAAAAAAAACTCATTCAATTCATAAACGTGCGAAACTTAAGATTCATCGGTAAAAAGTTAAAACTCGTGTTCAAAAATCGAAAATTCCAATATAAAATGTAAACAAATGTTAAATTCAATTGTTTCGTAAAGAATTCAAATCGATATTTGCTAAATGATCCGACACAGTCTGCGAAGAAAACGAGGTAGAGAGTGCGGCGGCAAAAATATTTATTTTTATCCACATACAGGCACATGCACACATATTCCAATAAAAACGAATGAAGTGCTAAGTTTCCCAGTTTTCCATCTAATCTCATTTACGCCGCCAATTTGAAATGACAATATTTGAAAAAAAACGAGAACTCCGACCAAAATAAGAACGGAGAAGCTGTGTAGAGAGGAATAGATGACTGCTACAGATAGCTCTCGTTATTTATCGTTTATCCAATTTTGATCTTCATTTGTTTTTCAATCTTTAGTTGTGTGTCGACTTTACTTTCACATTCATTTCATGGCTGCGTTTTGCCACCCGATTTCTGGCACTAATCTGATTCTGAATTGGTTGGCAGTAACACCACCACCAACACAGTGGTTCGATTGTTCGTTTTGTGCGCACATTGTCAATTTGGATTGTGTTGTAATGGTTGCGCGTTGATGGCAAATGGTGCAAAGTAAAAAAAAGTAAAAAAAATAAATCTAATATTATCATGTTTCGTCTGCGTCGATATAGAGCGCTCAGCTACTGCCATTACCTCCAATCCATCGAACAAACAAAATTCAAGTGGCAGTAGCGGTAGCAACAACGAACACGCCATCATCCATTACCCATTTCAATGTAAGCGATGTCGCAATTGGCGATAGTCCAAACATATATACCATCTCTGTACCTCTCCCTTTCTCTCTCTCTCTTTCTCTCTCTCTCGCACACACACACACGCACTCTCTCTATCTTTCTTTATTTCTCATTCTATCATAAAAAAATCGGAAAATCGAAACTGAGCTTGTCGTATTTATGTGTGTTAAACGAGAAACATCATAATCGCAAACGTAGATTCCCTTGGTATAAACCATATTCAATGTGTATAACATCAAATTGTACTCGCTCTCTCTCTATCTGTCGCTCTCAATATGTGTAAGCGAATGTATTGTGTGTATAGCATTGAGTGCTGCTACATGACGTCGACTCCACCTCTAAAATTCATGCATCATTGCGAATAGGAATGGAAAAAAAGAGCACCGAGACAACAAACAACGAGAGCGTTTATGTGTGTTTTGGGCGTGGTTAAGATTTAACATCGAATCATAAGAGTCGTTGTTATCGTTCATCGTTTTTGTGCTTTTGCACATCGTATGCCGAGGATCAGAGTTCAATCACAGCAACTACCAATACCCCGCATTGTATGCGATACATCATTTCCTGTTTCACATTTGCTAAAATCTACTTTCATCCTTAAAGCTGTTTCGAGACCCTCCCGTTGATTTTCACTTCAACTTCACTTTTCGTTATTTTTACCACTTTTCTCTGTATACTTTTGTTGCTCTTCAATGAAGTTTCTTTTGCGAAAAAGAGAAACGAATTAATTGGATTTATGTGGTGATTCGCAGTCGAAGATGCGGACGACATTTGAAAAGTTTCCAATTTGAATAATTGAGGTGATTACGGCAGGTGATTTTTTTTTCCATTGCCATTGATTTTTCCCCAATTCGATGGTAGATTTTTTATATTATAATAATTATCAAACAAATGCGATTCAAGTGTGGATTTCTTTTCATCACCATTATGAAAATTAATTCAAATTCATTATTTCATATTCGATCGAACGAATCCAAATGCAAGTTATCCTCATTTAAATGGTACAATGAAGCTTCAATATTATTGGGAGCAAGGGATTGCTCTTTTTATACTGTTTTATGATGGGTGTTTATGGGAGGCTGCGGCTTATGACTAAAATAAAATCGGAACATTTGAAATCAAGTAGAACGAATCACTCAGCAAGAATGAAAGAGAGAGAGAGAGAGAGAGAGAGAGAGAGAGAGAGAGAGAGATAAAGTGAGATAACGTTGAAAGTGTGCGATACGATTGATGTGTGGCTAAAGGTGGTTTGATGTGTGTTGTATGAGTGAGAAAATTTGAATCAATATTTTCTTTAACTATATCTATACATATACCAGAGCGCACATCTACTATCACCAAACGAATGTAATTAAAACCTAGGTTTAAATGAGCAAATTCTATAAAAATAAGTTATACCATTTTTTAACTAATTTTTCCAACAACTTTGATAAATAATCATACTAGTAAACATTCGATATGCTCACAATGGGCATTTGATGTTTTCGATACAGATACAGGCACGCGATTTTTTTCACATTCACGTGTACAATTTGGGTGGTGATGCTGCCACCACTGTTTTTGATAATTGTTCATTATTTTTTTTTAGATCTATCGATGTATACGAATTATTATGGTTGGTCGTATTGTTTTTTGTTATTATTGCTTCGTATGTATATGTATTTATATTTTTTCATATTCTCTTGGTGTATTCATATTGCTCCACGCTTTTGTTGTTCGATGCTTCGCTTTTTCGTTTTCAAACTGCTTGTTGGTTGGCCAACAACTGTGTGCATACATGAGATACAATTTCCATTGTCTCGTTTATACTCGTTTCTATATGTGTGTATGTGATCATCTCGCTTTTCGGTGGTGGTAGTGGTGGCGGCGACGATGGTTCGTTCGTTCGCAAATCATACACCAACTGATGCTGTTCTCTCTGCCGTGCTGTGAGATACAGCGAGAAAGCGTGTATGGAATTGTGTGCGTGTGTATACGTCTGTACCCTGTACGAGTCGAGAACGTGCTTTATCGAAGAGTATTCACGAAGTAGTCAAACGCAAAGGCAGTCAATCACCCAATCCACACATGTAATTTCTAGCATGATGCGAGTGTCATTCGGTTGTTGATCGCAAGTCGTTTAAGTGGTTCGACACACAATTTCTCGAATAGGAAACAAATATCATATCTTCAACGCATTTAGTTTGTATCGAACCCTTGGTGATAACGAACGGGTGTTCATTTTTTTTGTTGATCGAAATATAAAGAATTAGATCACATCTTACGTGAGCTAAAGAAATAGTTTTATTTTCTGCACATACAATCAACAAACATTTTGTGCATTTTTTAACGCAATATTTTTCAATTATAACAATTAATTTTTTTTTTGGGGGGAAAATTTTCCCATTAAAAGTGATTACAAAACATGACACTATCTTTTTTGTCACCATGTGAATAGTGAACAATATTTTTTTTAAATAAATGTTGTGACCAAATTTAAACAAAAAAAAAAAGTATATTTAAACAAGTGGTTACCAATTGACAATCAACTTTTCAATTGAAATTAAAAATATTACCAATTTTTGTAAAACGTGCGAGTTAATTTTGTGAGTTGATAAATGGAAACATTATTTCTGTCTCTATGCCTGACACGTGTATGGTCCAAAATTTGCGAATGAAAAAAATGAATTGAATGCAAATTTCACACAATTTTTTTGCAACTTATAGATTTTTTGTGTCTTTAAAGTGACTGATTTTACGGAACAATTAATTGATAAGAAAGGAAATTGAGAGAAACAAAAAAATAAAAGATAGAACAATCATCAAAATGGAAACCAAATTATCGGAAGCTGCAGGTAAATAGAAATTTAGTTATTTGCGATAATGATGAAAAAAGAAATCGTTTCGATAATTGTGTGTCTCTTGTGTGTATTCAGTATAACGAAGTGAATAAACAAAGTGGCCGGTGGCGAGCACAAGAGAGAGAGAAAAAAGAAGCGATTTTTTTCTTCATTCTCATTTATTTGATTTTCAATTTTTGCAGACAGACGCGATCTATTTGCATTACAATCTCTCATTCAAATTAATCAAGGTGATTTACTTATATTATTGGAAATCAAATCATCTGCAATTTTAATCATCGTTATAATCAAGATCAATCATTCACTGTACTGTTGTTCTTCTGTGTGTATTCGATGTACCTTGGCATTTGAAATGGAGTGTAAATCGAAGGCTAAGGTCACATACAGATGAGCATATATACAAACAAAACTTCGTTTTTTCTTATTTTTTAATTTGATTTCAAACAGAAAAGTTAGTAGGAAAAGGGGGCGGTTGTGCTTTGTTCTTGAACAAAGATTTTTGCACAAATAAAAGAACCTTCATTTCGTTCATTAACTTTTCTTTGTTGCTTTCCATTTGTTGTATTAACTATAGTTACAATTGCTTCCGATTTCATTCCACCTTGTGATGTGAATTCCGGTCGAAAGCCTTTCATTTAATTAGATCACACACATTTTCTATTGCGCTGTCAAGGAATTCAAATACCAGACGCAAAGGCGTTTGATTGTTGATATACCAACAGAATAAAAAATAAAATATTTATCGACAATGACATGACGACTCTTCGTTTTTTTTTTTGTTCATCAATTCTATTTTTTCTCTCTTCGTTAGTTTAATTTTATGTAAATTCAATGAAATTAAGGGAGATGCACAACTGAATGAGCAACTGTGTATGTCGACGCGTCAAACACGATGACTTATATCGTCTGCTACTTTAATTATGACAATTTTTTTCTCCATCCTGAACACAAAGAAAGAAGACGACGAATCTGTTTTCCTTTTTTTCCATTTCGATAATATACAAAAAAAGGTGTTTTCTGTTTACCTTTTAAAAAGAAGAATCAATATGAGTCAAATATACTCCGTTTGCAAGGTTCGAAGTTCAAATGTCTTTGTCTCTGGGATGGATAATAAAAAAGAATGTATTGCGTGTTTTGATTGCCTTTGAGAGAGAAAGAGAGAGTAAAGAGAATGAAGATTTGATGTCAATAGACATTTTGCGGTTGGTCAATTGGATTTTGGTCATTCGCAATACCTCATTAGACGATAAGAGATATGTGTGTGTCAACCGTGAACATTTCGAAATGTTTATATTCATTCGATGAGTGTTACATTTTATGACTGACGAGACACACATCACAATACAACTGAGACTAATGATCTGGTATTTGTTTGGGCCACATCTTTTCAAAATTCGAACACCCAAAATTCGTTCACCATGCACGTCTAAATCAACCACCAAATCGTAAAACGGATATCATTAACGTTGTTGATTCTTATTTCTCATTTTTATGTGAACTATTGAATTTATTCAGACTACTCATGTGTAGAACACAAGATAAACGATCCATAAAATGTGATGTACAAAGTGAACAATCCTATCAGCTACCTGAGTACTTATCAACTGTCTATTATATGAATTTGGTTATTTCATAATGTGAAACATATCTAAATGATGACCATCACATACATTTATCCATTCTGCACGCCTGCCATATAAAAAAAAAACCATAACCGAAACAAACCAGAATGCAAATATTGATACAAAACTATAGTAATAATAACGTTCTTCAAAGTAAATAGAAAATTGAAAGAAATGAGAAAAAAACGGTTTGCTGTGACAAATGCATTGGCGTTTGTGTGTATGTACAGCTATGGATTAGTTACGAATTTAATTTTCTTTTGGGTTTTCTTTTCTCATCGTATTTTGTCTGGTCAAATAGAAACATACACCAACTGCCTTTCAATTGATCAACGAAACTTTCAACAGGCGCAAACATCATGCATTTTATTCGTGTTCGGTTTCGTTTTCTTCTGTTTGATATCAATTTTGGTTCCGAATGTCATTCGGCATTTTACAAATAATTCGAAATGTAAGACCAAAAAAAGAGGAGGTGATGTGAAACGCAATTGCGTTTGAAAATTATTCATCAACGACTGGCTAGCCGATATTTTGTGTAAATGCGCGCGCAGTTTGATGATACAATTGAGTCAATATTTTTCCATCAAAATTAATATGATGACAACAATAAAATGGATGGAATGAAATGACAACGAAGAGGCGAAGACAAAACAATAAGAAATTACAAACACCTGAAATCGTTGCAATGCAACAGCTACTTCAAGAAAAACAAAAGTAGTTTCGATGTGCGCTCGGTTTATTTGTGTGTGACAGAAACAAAAGGACAAATTCAAGCGCGCAATTAAAGATACTATTTATCTAAAAGCATTTGGAATTTATCACCTTCTCTCAATATTTTTCTTGATCTTTCGATTGGCTTGTGGCTTTTTCGCTCGACTCTTTTTTTGGAAGGTAATGCGATTGCATTATAAAGTGAGGATGGCGCATTTAAAACAGATACGAAATTGATGAAATAAACAAATTGTGTGCGTAGAAAATTACCAATAATTTAACGCACGTAAGAGTTCGGAAGAAGAGGAATGGTGTGCGTATGAGCGTATTTTAGTTGTCACAAATCGGCTACAAATAAGTGGCGAATTCGATTTTGGGCCACATCTACTGAGATCAATGGCAACAAAAGCGGCAGAAACGTCAACGGTGGCGGGGGCATCATTTTAATTTGCACGCCGAAATTTTCCGTTCTCTTTTTAACTGAAAAACTAAAATACGAATATTTATTATATATTGTGTCAACGAACGATGATTATGTTTTATTTTTGCCAAGTGAATATATTTTCGAATCGCTCCATTTTTTTTCTCTTCTCACAAATCAATTGCAGTCGTATTTTTCTGATCAAAACAATAACAATATGTTCGTCACTTTTTGCATCTAGTTTTTTTTGTTTCGTTTTTACTTTACGCAAATTTGCATCGCACAAAATTAATCATCCGTTAAATATGGGATTCCTTCAATTTATTTACGTTGTTTTGGGATGAATCTTTTTTTGTTGGTTTTGGTTTGCTCTCGCCCGCTCATTATCTTTGTGTTTTTATCCTATATCGAACAACGGTTAATTTCGTTCATGGTTTTTCTGAGTTCAATAAATCCGTTCGTCGTAATCGCTTTGTGCATGTGTTTATATTTGCTCGGGCGCTCAGTGTCCTCCTTTTTTTCTCAGTTCATTGTTAACGACGTTCGAACGATTTGCGGACGTCAATTTAAAAGTGCATTGATGGTAATATCGAATGCAATTCATATTGAGTGCGCGCTCTCTCTCGCTTTCTGTTTGTGCGATAAGCAAATTGGCGTGCACAAACGCACATGCATTTTGTTTACAGGAATGTTTTTCGCCTGCATTTGTAAAAATTGTGCTGTTGACCTGCTCCGGAAATCATTGTGGAAATCACGTCAAAAGTGTCAACGACGTCGTTGTTGTCCTCATTTTTGTTATTGTTGTTGTTCGAAGCAAATTAACTCAATTATAGTGATTTGATTTGATTTTATTGCTCTTACATTTACCTTCGGGCCAATTTATGCATTGTATTCGCATTCGAAACACTTCGTTTTTCATTTGTGTTAACTAAATCGATATTAGATTCGTTCCGGTGTCGTAAGCAAACAGAAAACATATGATTCAATTCAACTTATGTCGACTTTTTCATTTCGTGCAATTGCAAAGGCAATCAAAATCATATTCAATATTTTCCCGAGAGTTTTCTCTTTCACTCTCTATATTTTGCCCACTTTACCCTAATACTGGTAATTGATTCAACGTATACTTTTTTTTCTCTGCTGAATGTTGCTGTTATTGTTTGATCTACTCACCCCAAATGACAAACAAAATTGAGCCATAATACAATCATGTTTTACATGTTTAATTTTATTTTCCGGCATCATCTGCAGCAACAGCAACTCTCTTCCTCTCTCTCTCTATCTCACCCCTCTTTGTCTAAAAAGAATGTATACACCAAAAATCACATTCTTTGCACCAACCGATTTCCGATAAAATAAATGTAAATATTTTTATGCGAAAGTGTGTACCAGCACGGTACACTCCGTACAGAAAAATACAGAAAAGGTGCCAACAAAAAAGAACTCTATGTACAACAACAACAATAACACAATTTTAGGGGTTCATGATTTGTAAACAATACTATGCTTAAACGTAAGCATTGCACAAAAATATAGTGTCGATGTGCGGTCTTGCCTATTGTATCTGTTGACATTGTTCGTCAATTTGTTCATCACAATATGAATTAGGATATATTTGACGTGATGCATCGACTTCTGCAACCAGTTGTTGAATGGGTGACGACGACGACGACGACGATAAACGTTGAACGGTGATTTTTCGGTGATTTTCATCCCCTGGCTGAATCAAAACAAAAAGTAAAACTTAAATTGGTTGGTTTAAGTGAGCGCACGACTGCAGTAAATATTATCTCTATAATCGTACGCTTTGTTCGGTCGATTCTATCTCTGGGTATATCGTGTTTCAAAGCAAAACCTCCTCAAATTACACGCAATTCATTAAAAATTTATTGAAGCGTTTAACCGATAATTTTCGATGCCAAAATAAAACATTTAACACCACTTATACGTATGTTGCAATTTAACCATATCTCATTCTATCAATTATTGGCGGTTGTTTTCTTTTTGGATGTAAAATCATTATTTGCTTATACCTCATTTCATATGCATTTTTATGTTAAATAAAAATTAAGAAAAAAAATCAAGCTTTTTTCTACATTTTTTTTTTCTTCTCGTTTGGATCGCGCACAGATCATCGCTCTTCATCACCAGTTGGATGCTATTCGCCAACAGCAAATCGTTTATTGCCATGGCCACCGTCGGCACCACAAAATATGACCACGAACAACAGTGCCGACGCTAATACGGCGCTCAGCAATGGCAATGCAAATTCCATGTCCATGGTGAATGGAAATCGAAAATTTCAACATCTTGGCCTGATATGCGTCGTTTGTGGTGACACCAGCTCAGGAAAACACTATGGCATTTTAGCATGCAACGGATGCTCAGGTTTCTTTAAACGCAGTGTACGACGGAAATTGATTTATCGGTGAGTTTTTTTCTTTCATCCATATATTCATTTTTATCAACTCACTTTTTTCAATATTAAAAAAAAAAATGTTTTCTTTTGAATTAAAAATGTTACATATTTCGATCAATTTTTATCATGAATGAATCAAAGTTTCAACGTTAAAAACTAAGAATAAAGCGGTTAGTGATATAAATCAAATGTGATTCAAAATGCAATTGCATAAAAGGTTTCAAATTACAACATTTGGTAATGTTTTCTACCAACGTATTCATATGTTTCCTTTTTTTTTAAAAAAATTGGCATTTCAATATATGCATATATGACTAGTAAAAATTGACGCCTAAATTGACTTGCATATAATATTTTATGCATTTAATTTATAAATCACACCATTTACATAAATGCAATTGGTCGCTATTGCATAACGAGACCCCTTTGTAACATATACATATTTAACTGGCTATAACTTTGACGGCGACCACGATTAAAATTCAACAAATTTTTATGATCAAACAATTATTTAAAGCCATTTAATCTCATGCATAAAGAAAATTCAATGCTATTTTATAACAAGTCAGATGTTATAATATTCAATGCTTCATTATTTGCTTCTCGTTGGTGTATATTTTTTTTCTTTCCTCGAAGCGTATTTTTATTCGGGCAAAGAGAAAAAAAAAAGAAAAATCCCGGTCGCAAAAATATTGACGGAGTTTTACCGTACGGATGATTGTTAAATGTCGTTTTGAAAAGTGAAACTATTATAACTGCTGTTGCTTCCCTTTTTGCTCATTCCATATGGATGCTTTTTTTTTCAACAGCACGCAGTGTATTATAATTCAGGGATGCGTAAGTCATTTATTGTTGAGTGGCATCAGATGGCATTAAATCGTACTTAGCCTTAAACATACTTTTAACCATGAATGATACCGGGAGATAGAGCGAGAAAGGAAGAGAGAGTGGTTAAAAATGTGATTGAAAAAAGCAAACGCCTTCTTTTTCCTCATTCAATTCCCGACGAATATGCATTCATTGAACGAAGAAAAAAAAAGAGAGGATATTTTGATGCAAGTCAAAACCGATAGAGCAGGTTTTGTAATCAAACCAGAGTTAAAAAAATACACGACCGTCTGTTAAAACTTGTTACATTCAAATGAAAGTTTATGCTACTTGCTGCCACAGTTCAAACATTTTAAATGGGATTATGCAGAGACAGTGAGAGGAGTTAGTGAGTATAAGTGTTCGCGCTTCAAAATCTGTGCATTTCATATACGACTGCTAAATGGATTTTAAAATGATTGTTCAGAGCTCAGAGGGCACACGATCGATTGCTAACGAAACTCTCAAAATGTTTACAAGATAATGATATTCAATTTATGAATTATATGGATATTTTGCACTGCTGCACCCGAACGTAATTCAAAAACATTCAAATTCGTGCAATGGAAGAGAAGAAGAAGCAATGCGGATTCTGGTGTATACACAAGTATTTTTTTTTCTTCTATTTTATTTGTTTGAGTTGAGTGTGGTTATACAGTTTATTGCACACGCTTACTTTTTGGCTCATGTGTGCACAAAGTCATGCGATTATATTAAATGGTAATTTATTATACGGTTTGGTTAACAGATGGGCATGCATCGTTGAGAATCGAATGTCGTCTCGTCGAATACTGCATACGAGTCCAATGATGTTCGTGTCTGATTTTGATACCTTTGCCAATTTATCTAATCTAGTGTCAGTGTGTGTGTGTGTGAGAGAGAGAGAGTATGTGTATGTGTCAAAATAGATCGTCATTGTTTTGTTTTCATTTCACTTTCAAAAGAGGTCATTTTAAATCAATCATCACATGTTTTATTCATTTTGAAACGATTTTTTTTAAACAATTATTTATCGATTCTATATTCAATGCTGTGATTCTGCCAAAAATCTATTCAATCAAAAGAGTGAAAGAAAAAAGTCATCGTTTTATTTGTAACAATAGCAAAACGAAGTGATTCCCCTTCGAGATACAAAAAAAAACACATTTGGCTGTAAATTTAATAAAAACAGAAGACACAAAATCACAACACAATTCAAATGCGAAGTACAAAAAAGCAGGTTCTCACTTGATGTGCTTCAATGCTTTTTTATTGTATTGTTTTGAGCAGCGTGAATTGATTAAATTACAATTAATTTGTCATTCATCAACGAGCTCGCGCAAAAACATAAAGAGATAGTCAAAGGCTGTATCATAATGATGAATTTGCTGTGGGTATGTGTGTGTGCTAAAAACCTACTAAAAGTTTATTTCATTTACGACCTCTGTTTCGATGTATCCTTCTCTAATTCTCTAATTTGCTCTCTCTCTCTCTCTCTCTCTCTCTCTCTCTCATTCTCTTTTTAACTTCAATAACCCAGTTGTTGCTCGGTTCCCTTTTTGTTCCTCTAGTCCATCTCTTAATTTCAACTTACAACGATGCGCATGCAACCGTAAAGGAATTAACTCAAACATACACATTTTTCGTTGGGTTGAAAACCAGGAGAGAAAAAAATATATCATGACATATGTGAATTTTGTGTGCGGTATGATTAAGTGTTCTTAAAATAAGTAATGAATGAATTAAAATGATGCGCTGACGACCCGAAGATTTGCCACCCAAAATGAAATGCTAAATAACCAAAAATTGAATGATAATACACACACATACACTCACGCAAAGGACAAGAGAACAAAGAAATTACCAGAAATATGGAGAGAAGAGTGAGTGAAATAGATTTTGGGCCATGCCATAGAGAAAGAACATCAACTAAGCGAAGTAGCAGCATCAGTAAAGAAGCAAAGAGCCCCGTAAATAAAATTTGATGTGATGTACGCACAAAAGTTCAACCTCCAAATAAGAAATTGTGACACATGCGCCTCACAGTTCAACTGCAAACACCAGTCACAGCTGGTGGAAAGAGAGACATACAGCATCAGCAAGCAGCTACACACATACACTTAATCAGAGTAGGGAATACACAAACGCACACACATTTATAAAATAATGGACAAATCCATTGAAAATCTATGTGTGCAAAGACTTTTTGATAATGGCGAATTGATTTGTATTGAAATCAAAGTTTGAATTAAGTTAATTCGGATCATCCTTTTATACATACACTGCACACACCACTTTACAAACTGTTTTTATTAACACGCACCGACACACAATAGCTTGTGTTCAATTTGGGTTTTATTTATGCGATGAAGTGACTTTCGAGCCGACAAAATAAAAATGATCAAAATACCATCATAGCCGGCACCAAGCTTAAGAACTAGAAGTCATTAATTTTACCTCTCGAATTTTGAATGAAGAAACAAAGACACACAAACTCAATCCAAATCGAAATTAATTCGATTTCACGAAACTGAATGTATGAACGATTTCGATGTTCATTACAATAACATAATTGACTCACTTTCAAGTATATTTCTACTTAAATCCCTAAACAAATGGTCAATAATTTTTCAAATGCCAAACGTGGAAACTGAGGCCACAAAATTTATCATTTGGCTTTCATTGTCATTTTTCATCGAAGCACGCGTACACAAAAACATGGCATTTATAAAGAGAATCGCATCAAAATCAAGAAAAGATGATCCGAAACTTGATCCGGAAACATTATTTTAAATCAATTTTTCTTGTTTTTTTTTTTTTGTTTACATCTCTCACACCTTGTCGTGTTCGTATCAATGTTCCTTTTTTGGGTCGTCGAAAAATTGTGATGATGGTGGATACAGCAAAAGCACAAGTGATAAAACATAATCAAGTGGAAATGAGCAGTGACCTGCATGCAAATGATAGAATTTCCTTCGTATAAACCGAACATATTTTGTTGTATGTGCCATCTTCATTCCTTTTTCCCGCTCTCTTTCAATCTCGGCACGTTGTTTTTTTTTTTGGTATCTCAATTGAGGGGAGAAACGCTGTCGAAAATAGTGAACAAACAAATATAATAGCATTGAACAATTTTCAGTCGTGCGTTCTTTAAATATTTGTGATACATATTCTTCGGTGGGTTATTGGATGCCATTTTTCAGTGATAAATTCGATTTTAAAGATGGCACAGCCCAATGAAGCCCACACACAACTTGAACATTTTGTACAAACAACAATTCTTTGTCTCCATACCAATGCCATTCAACGACATATTTTACAATTGCGTATAAACAAGAATTAAACAATGGCAACGACTCAAAAAATAATAAATCGTATTATGATCATGCGAATTTATGACTGTGTGATTTTGATGCGAAAAATACTTTGCTTTAAACAAAATGAAGTCAATTTTTTGCCAACGTGTGTATAGTATGTAGCACATTTCCATCAAATGGTGCACTTGTCCCTTCTGCATTCGATGTGAGCTCAAAAGAAGTGATGAGAAATAAAAAAAAACAGCCAGAACGAAAGACATTTATTCAATGTCTAATGTGTATTTGGGAAAAATGGCGCGCGTGCATGCAATGAAATCGTGTGGGTGCTATAAAGTTAACTTGTCTTTTCCCATACGACTATTTTTTCTGTATGTGTGTGTATGCTCCCGGAAGTCGGAAAAATATTGTATGTGTGTAGGTAAAACATAAACATAAATTCGAACTGTATGGCACTGGAGGCTCAAGTCACTGTCATATTTGGCAACGATACACACATCGGATGAATGAAAATATATATTGCTTTTGTGATTCGACTCTTTCAATCCGCAATCTCTGCGGTCTGCTTTTGCTGTGGTTTTAACGTTTGCGTGCATCTTTCGGTGGACACATTTGGCCAAATAGATCCCACTTAAGTCGTTATTTGTCTCTTGGGATTCGCTAAATGATATCACTTCGCTGATGCCTACTCATACTCTCATTCTATCGCAAACAAACCGTCAAAAACTTTCTGCACATAGCCAGCCTTCTCATAAGATATTGTTAATTTTATTATAGAGATACATTGAGCCGATTTTTTGTGCTATACAGATATTTTTTCTTTTAATTTTTTTTATGCGTGGCGCCCATAAATGGAATTATGGATGAGAAAATCGTGCATTCGCCTATGTCCTTTGTTTGTCAGTGCAGAGCTATTGAACAGAAAATCGAATTCAATAAATGAATTCACCGAATATCATGACATTTCGATGTATCAAGGTTGTGAGCTTCAATGTTATCCAGAGTAAAACTTCGATTGTCATAAATTCGTTGACCGTAGCATCAGCCGCTGTAGCGGAAAAAATCAATATTTGAAGATTGTAATTCTGATCCCTTTTGTATAAAATATCAAATAATGTCGTTCGCTTTGTGATTGTACCCATTGCTATATGGTGAGATTAAATTTATTGACAAATAGATGATCCCATCGATGGGCATTTTCAATTGATGTGTACGATCAATTCTTTTATCGATTTATGTTATTTCAATTAAAATCAAGAGATAGTTCGAGAGAAAAAGGAGGCGAAAAATAATACAAAGAAAATCGAAATGGGCACCGGTTGGTGTATTTCGTTGATTCTTCTGTGGTATTTGTTAAAAAATAAAATTCAATTCGAAGCAATTTCTTTTGGAATCCAAATACCAGCCGATTAGATCAATTTTATTTATGGGAAACGTTTCAAAGAAAGATTTGTAATAACTTGCAGACGATTATACTTATGATTTCGTTTATCGCTATGTGTATTAGTGTTGAAATTAAAACATGAATGGTACTTGGTCGTCGTCGTCGTCGAAAAATGCGAATAATATTTTCTGGTGATTTATTAAAACTTGGTCTAATGTTTTTATTCAACAAGAATTAATAACAAATTGAATACAAAAACGTAAAAGTAAAACTGACCGAAAACGAGATATATCTCGAAATGAAAGTGATATAAAGAAGTATGGCGACGTCATTTCCAATCAATGAAAGATGAATACAAAAAAAAACACGAATTTGATTGATTCGCATTATCCTTTATCCCAACAAAATCAAATTCAGCATTTCTGATGAGAAACTTTTCGTATGCCATCACAACCAACATCGCATTTATGCACCACTGGATTTTCCTTCCATTTCCTTCGAATGGAAAATCGCCAAAGTTTTCCTACTCCATTTCGTTCCAATCAAAATGCAAATTTAACGCTGACGCCTTTTTCAAATTGATTGAAGACTTGAATCGCTTGTAGACAGAGAGTTTTTGTTTGTCAATTTCATCATTTTATGTCATGTTTTGCAATTGATTTTATTCTTATTTGCTTTTGTTGCTTTCGATTTTCGCTGATGAAAATTCGTTTTTTTACATCTTACAGGTGTCAAGCTGGAACTGGCCGATGTATAGTGGACAAAGCACATCGAAACCAATGTCAAGCATGCCGATTAAAAAAATGTCTGCAAATGGGCATGAACAAAGACGGTAAACAGATTTTATTATTATTATTATTTTCTTCATTCAAAAATTGTCGATGATGAAAAATGAATTAAAATGTATTGCAATATTTGAAAAATGAAATGAAAAGTCGTTCTTTTATTGAATTAAGAAGAAAGAAAAAGTTTAAAATTGAATTAGGGCCGTAAAAAAGAAACGATGCCATGTAAATAGAGATGATGAAAAAAATGTATAGTGTTATTTTCCAAGAAATTTTGTTGTTTATACTTTCACAGCACCCGTAATAAGTGAGCATTTTGTTTGCCAACAGTAAAATAAATAGTAAATACAAATTAAAATGAATAAGTTGTTAAACGTAAATGTTGTTTTCATAATCGACTTCATATTTAAATTGAATGAGCCTCAATTAAGTTAACATTTAAAATAACGAAAGCAAAACACTTGATAAAATTGTTTTCGAGCGCCATTTTTTCAAACATTTGGAAAAAAAAATGGCAAAAAGACGAAATATACTTTCCAATGATCGCACATTAATATGATGACATATCGACATATGGCTTTGAAATAAATTATATATTTATCACATTTTTAATATTTACGCAATCTCATTTTTCACTTTGTGAAAATGTCGGATTTCATTTTTTCACTTTCAAACGATTAAAATTACAAGATGTGCTCAAAGATAATCAATATATTGGTGTCTTTCATGTTGTTTGTTAGTATTGAATATTTGTTGATTACAAACGAATAGAAATGACGGGAAAAAAAGCATCGAATTAGGAACAAAATTTAAAAAATTGAGAGCAAAAATAAATCGAATGAACACTGAATACACAAACATAAAATGAAAAAGCATTTGCTGTTCATGCTGTGTAAAATTTCAGCGCTAGCGAAAGAAATGAAGTGAACCCCAAAAGAGATTTAAATGTAAGAAGTTGCTATTTCATTGGTTTGAAGTTTACGCTAGAAAAATTTATACACTTCAATGATTTTTTTCCACAGACAAAATTAATGATTACATTGTAATCATAGTGAAACGATGTGAATAATTCATCTTCTTTTGTTTTTAAACCAACTCCCGCCTCCAAATTCGAAATGAACAATTTTCATACATTTCCATTTGCTGCTTATGCGTGACTTTCTTCTACCAATGAAAAAAAAAAAACACGAAGCATTCAATCACTGTGCGCGACTTTCAATTGATCAGGCCTACATTCCTTGTTCACTTCGTATTAATCACGCATGATAAACGTTAAGTTGGTTTTGGTTCAGTTATTTCCGAGTTATGATGTGCATATATAAAATGTAGCAAGTGACGTGGTTAAATAAGAACCATAGCATTTGGTGGAAATGCTATGCAAAAAAACCTTCAAACCAGAAAAAAAATATGTCAATATTGATTCGCATTTCAAGATCTGACATTGCATCAGGAATTGCAGAGAAAGTAAACAGTTGCGTTTTTCAACAGCCGCGAAAATACGCGATTTTGCTTATTTGTTTTTCATTCTCTGTCTTGTGCTCTTTTCTCATTTCATTTTAATTATGAGATAATACATGATTCATGAGTGCTGAAAATCGAAAATTAACTGAAGTAAAAGAAGAAGAAAAATGCGATTGTCGTTACACCGACGGCTTTTTGTGCATTTCCCCATCGATACATTCGCACTAAATTCAATTTGGCAATTTAGATTCATCGGGCGACATAACGATTTTTTCTATCAATTATGAAAAAACAAAAACCAACCCACCCCCGGAGGTGGCATTGCTCTTGCTCGTTATGTGGTTTTGGTGCTTTAATACTGGTTTCTCTTGCTGTTGAAATATTGTTAATTTTGTGTGTGTGGTTCACATTCTGAATAAGAGTGTGCTGAGAGAGTTGAACACACGTCTTAATCATCGTGTCGAACGATATGAATTCATAACTAAGATGCAATCATAGTGTTAACATATTGTTACATTTCATAACAAGTTTTGAATCGAATAAAAAAATACACAGTTTTCACATTCGAAAGTGTGTGACGTGTGAATATATTGAAATCGAAAAACAACAGGCGTTCTTCGGAGCATACGTTTCTTGTTTTCCCATGTTTCATTTTAACCGAACCGAAATTTAATAGACTAACAAACACCTCATCTCCGTATCCTCCTCCTTTTCGACACAATTTGGCTTTGTGCTCTTGCTGTGCAGCGCAAACACAACAATATACATTAGAAAAAAAGGGTTTCAACTGATCTAATGCCATTTTGAAATGTGAAGATTTGTTATACACACTTTCATCTACAAATGACATTGTTCAAAGTGTCAAAGCGTATTACTTTTAGTTGCATCCATAAATGATGTAAAACGTAACAAAATAAGACAATACTACCATCAAGACGCACAGCATCATGTAAAATAATGATGGAGCAGAAGTGAGATAGAGAGAGAAATAAAAATGGCTCAAAGCGCAAATATGATCAACAACATAGCTAACAAATATGGCACGTGTCTTTGTAATGTTAATTATGTAATCTTTTTTTGTAACATAACTTACAATATTACACGTAAAAGCATGAATATTAAATGATTTTCAGTTCAACACAAAGTGCCAAGTGTCTAGTGTGTGTATGTTCAAAATTTGAGAATACCACAAAAATAATTTGAATAATACATATAAGTGATTTTAAATGGAGAAAGACGGTTTCTACTTTGAAAATCTATCACTGACTCTTTCGAGTTAATTACTTCCTCCGATGTTCCTTCGTGTGAGTGTTTTTTTTTCTAGTACCAAAGTCAAAGGATTCAGATAATTTCTTTGAAATGATCGACAACAAATGAAGCGAATTTCTCAACCTGGATTGCTCATTTACTTATAGTATCGCATTGGGATTTCAATCAAAATAATTGAAATGTTTGCAATCACTTTGAAAAATTGACCAAGTAGCAACATTGAAAAAAAAAACAACAACACCCTTTTTGGAACTAGAAAAACGGAGCTTCAGTAACAATTCCATTGATGAGATGTACCGAATTCCCATCGGGATTGCTTAGACATAAAACATATTTGCATTGGCAATAAAATGACATTTTTTTGTGCAAAATTAAATCGGATCGACATTTGCATAAATAGAAATTTGCACAGAAAATCACGATTGGCCATTCGTCATGAATAGACACGGTGTATTATTCAACGGTGTACAGTCGAATGACTTAAAGTAATTTGGTGAATATACTTGCACATTGTGAGTCACATTTGAAAAAAAAAAAAAACAAATCTAATCCGTTAACGAATGAATGAGTGCATCAATGCAGGGTATTTGTATTATTTTGTTGATGGGTGTTCACACATCGAGTAAATCCTTTCGTTAAGAACATGAAATGATCATTAACCCGAACAAAAAATCACACACGCATCCATGAGGTAAATGGATATGAAAAGTGTCCGAATAGTTTTCAACCGAATAACAAAATCAAAATTGGAATTTATTCAAATGATCATTTCGGTGAGTTCGAGCGTACGCACTCGAAATGCAATTGTTAAATTGTGTGAATTTGCATAAAATCGTCGAATCATTAGTGTGTAACGTGTTCCTATGGTTCGCGCCTCCGTCGGTTTGTTTATATACCTTTTTCTTCCCCGTTAAAATCAGAGCAATACGTTTAGCGCATTAAATTGCGGTGTGATGGTGTGGCGTGTGCCAGCTTGATTTCCACAGTTTCTCTCATTTACAAACACCATCATGACGTACTTAGCGTCTGATGAGTGTTGTTTCTTTTTTTTCATTTTCTTCTCTGTCTCTCGATGTGTTATTCTCTTCTTTTTTTTTCTTCTTTACATTGTGTCGATATGCGCTCTGCCACGGTTTGCTCATTTTTCGATCCATTTGACAAATTTCGTGTACTTGGATACACACATGCTACTCTCGCGTATCCATCTTTTTTTTGTTAATTGCGTCGATTCCCAAGCCCGTCCAAATACAAGATCCAAAACAGAAATAAGGACCAAAAACAAAAATGCGCAACAACCGAAATATGAAATATCAATAGAACACCATTCTGCCACAAAAATGGTCAGGTTGACAATACGCGAGCGAATGATGAAAATAATAATAACCAAAAAAAAAAAAAACAGAAATGAATGAAATGATATAAAAATAGGAGCAGCCAAAAAACACACGTGCAGTGCAAGTGGAAAATACGTCAAAGAACGTCCAAAATTACACAGCGGAATTACGAAGAAGAAGAGTGAAGTGTGTGAAATATATAGAAAAAAAATGCCAAAATTTTTATTTTATAATTGCAGCATTTTGTATGCGTACTCATTTCTTTTTTTGGCTCTCCGTCGAAACAATCGAGAAAGGTCTGCATGTATGCATATTAGGCTAGAATAAACCGGTATCTATGTTTTTTTTTACAAAGGAGTTGTTGTCTTGTTTGTTTGGTGGTCGGTCGGTCGGTTCCCCGTCGCTGTATTGCCTTCATACCAAAAATGTTTGGTGTGCATTATGCCGTTTTTGGTTGGGTAGCGCGTGTTCATGCTCGCGCTCGCTTACTTTGGCATGCTGCGAAAAAGTTAAATATGCGGATAACCCTTAAGTTAGCTGTCACGTGTTCATGTGTATGTGCTTTTTTCTCACTTTATTCTTCTTTTTATCAATCTTTCTCTGTCTGTCTATTTCGCTGTTTGTGTTTATGTTGAATTTTTCTATCGCACTCAACGACCATAAACCACTCTGTGTGTATATAAAACATAAATAAACGGCTCATCACATCGTATTTTCAATAATGGTTCAATTTATCAGTTGAAATTAACAGGAAAAAAATGCAAATCAACCAAAATATGTTGATTGGCCACACCGTCACACAAAGGCGCACGTATTGCACGAAAATGCAAGCCGAAAAGAAACAACCGAATGAAGTGAAAAACGGTTGAAACTTAATTAAGCGGAATGTATGCGCTCGTAATGATTGTGATACTAATGTATTATACAAAATTGGTGACGAGTGTGCACACTTACACTCTCCATCTCATAAACCAAAAGCAATTTACATACAAATAATGGACCAACTAATATCAAAACCATACACATCAGATAGAAAAGCAAAAACAAAAATAAAATGCAATTGAAAATTTGAATAACAATAATTTTGCATAAATTAAAATCGATGTGCTTATTTATGTATAATCACTGTCCGCTGATAATTCGTTTTTCTCTCTATCTATGGTTTTGGCTAATTGATGTGGTACATGCACACAGCGGTAAAATGAGTAAAACGAATATAAAGAGCGTGAATTAGCAATGGAATAGGAATGGCTCATTCAATTGATGCTCGTTCATAAAATACATTATTATTTCGTATTCATTGTTTGCATATATTTATGATTGATTATAATATGTGGACAATTTAGTAACGAAATAATGAGCACTGTTTTAACCCTTGCACAATTCCAGAGAACAGAAAAAATGTTGACCAAATTTTGTTTGGATTATTTTGCGAAAATATATTATTTCACTTCATTCTAACATTTATTTATTGATTTATCAACTTATTTATGCCAAACTAACATCCTTTTCTTTCTGTTTTCTTATCAGCTGTCCAAAATGAACGTCAGGTAATTATCAACACTAGTTAAAATAACAACACTAGAGGCCTTTATCTTCTAATATTTCATAACTGTAAATGAAAAAGATCAATGCCCCTAGTCAATAATCTGACTTTATCTACCGATATATTCAACTAATTTACGCTATTTTCTCTGTTTTTATTTCAGCCACGCAACACAGGTAAATTGACTGGAATTAAATGATTAATTTGGTGTACTCACGATTTCTTTCTGCTTGCAACAAATTCAATTTCGATTCTGAAAGAAATGTCGGCATTTTTCAAACGAAATATTTCAAACATACAACAAAATGCAATGAATTTGCCAGTTTTTCATTTTCAAAATAGTAATGTTCTAACATTTGTTGTAGCAACCATTCGACCGGAAGCTTTTCGCGACATGGACCAAAGCAGGGCTTTGCGTGAGGCAGCTGTTGCCGTCGGTGTTTTTGCGTAAGTCTTGATTATATTTCACTAGGAGAAATAATGATCTAGTGGCGAATGGACAAAGTTATTGAAGGTGTAACAATTCGCACTAAGTTATCAAGCGACTATTTTAAGGTTTTATCTTCATACCGAATTCTTTGCGATTTGTTGCAAATTCGTGAATTTTTTTCACTTTCAAATAATTTAACATAAAAGTCGAAAAATATCGCATAAATCGCTACGTTTTGATCGAGATCCGTTCCCCTAGATAGATTAAATGTTTCCGTTTTTTGTCATGTTCGTCGTTGATCGTGCATGAGTTCCATTTATTTATTAATATTTTAATGTAGAAAAACTTATTTTTTCATGACATTAGGCCGCCTATGTTGCTATCTCCATCACGATATGGACCCGGTCTTTTGACGCCACAAAGTAAGTTTTTTTAAAATATATTTTGCGTGCACTACTGCATCTTTATTCCACACTTTGAAATTTTACTCATTCATGCATGAAGTGTACAGTATATAAAATGCTTTACTTTCTTTTTTGTATATTTGCTTAAATCATCACGCATTTAATTCTTGGCCAATTTTTTTTGGTTATTTCACATTTTTTTGTGCGTCATTGTATTTGTTCTGGAGCAATTTAGCTTTTTTGTTCCGTGAATTTTATCGTTTCAAACGAAATAATTTGAATCATCACTTTCAATGAAATCCTTAGTCCGCACAATTTGAGTCATGGATTGCATCAGAGTAGAAGCAGATGTTTTTAACTTTACGAGAAAAAAAATTGTTTAGTTACGTTTTCATTATGTGAATTCTTTTGGCCTTTGTTGTATCTATATCGCATTGAATGATGTTTGATCACTCTTCGATCAACTCGCTTCAAAACTCGTGCAAAATTTAAAATTAAATTACACCCAGTTACAGTTTCTATGCGAGAACAGAGTAAATAGCTAACATTCCAAAGACATGTCTTGTTTTCGTATTTTATTTCACTTCTAATTTAACTTTATTGTTTGCATTTCTTTTTTAAATATATGCTTTTGAATGAATGTTTTTTTAAAAATGTTATCCTCATTCAGAAATTAATCTCGGATTACCGTTGAATTGAAAATATTTTAGAATACATCAAAAATCATTAATTTTCATGTTTTTTTCCCTTTAAATTCGGTTAAGCAATTGCTTCTTTACCGCCAAGTTTACATCATAGCCACTTGGCAATGCACCATCATCACCATCACAATGCATTGATTCCAAATGGTTTGGCCATGTCGTCCAATTTAAACAACAATTCCATTCAGACAAATAACAACAATATCACAAATAAACTAACCAATAATCATCAATCGACTAACTCAACCAAAAATAACAATAACAACAACAGCAATAGTAACGACACCGAAAATCATCGTCATCACACTGAAAATAAAACGGGTCGCCTATCATCAAACAATTCATCGAGCAATTCGCCAAATCATTTATCAAGTCGACCAATAACACCAGGTATTTCTTTCATCCATAATCGCATGTTTGGTTTTGTTATCATTAAACGTAAATAACCCAAAGTCGAACATCTTATATGTGCAGGATGTATATAAGAATGAGAAAAGTCCAATTTCCTTTGACAAATCCATTTGATTTCAAAATGTATCGTTCGAAACGGTTTCAATTGAAAGATTTAAATCGAAGGTGGCGATTTCTTATTTCTTCAACACATTGCTTGTTTACATTCAAATTCTCGTCCAACGAAAAATGGATGAGAAGAAAAAACCTTTTAAATATCTTAAGTCTAGGAAATCTCATTTCGCATTCAGTATTTTCATTTGCACCGCATTCAAAAATAAATGCAATTTTAATGTCAAAGGATTTTCATATTTGAAATTTCAACATTGAGAAGAGACAATTTTAATTTTCCTCCATCTAAAAGAATGAATTTTCATCAAAATATATTTACATCGTTTTCCATTTATTTTTATTTAACGTGTGTGTGTGTCATTTTAGTGACGAGCCATGAGAATTCGGGCAATGCAAGAGGGAGTCTGTCTTCAGTTGGCTCTGATAGCCCAAATCCGTGCAATGATAACGATGGTAAGTATATTCTGTGTGATTTTCTTTTTTTTTTTGTGGTAACGTGAATACACTGCCTGTCATTTGTAATAAAAATTTGTTTGTACAATCTCTTATGTTTCCATCTCCTAAATACCATCGAAAGAAAAAAAGTCAACTCATGATTCCAACTCTCGCGCACTTTAAGCATTTATTTAAATCTCATTCTCTTTTTTTTGTCATTTTTTCATGCACCGTACCATAGAAAGTGAAAAAAAAAAAACGTCGCACAAATGAAATCTGAAAAGACAAACTACTTTAAATGCAAATTTTTTTCTGCTACCATCGCAATCTTGAGCTCAATGTTTGTTTTGTCGCTCTCATTCGAGCTACTTTTTTTCTTCATGTGATTCCTTTCCGACTCGAATCATGAGTTCTGGTGTCAGTACAAAAAAAAACCACTCTGAATGAAAGAAAAAATGACGAAAAATATAAAAAAAATACAATCAAAGAAAAAGCATTAAATAGGATTTTAAATCAAACATGTATCATTTGGTTATCTTTTTTTACGCAATTGTGGTTGGTGTTTTCATTTATTTTCATTTTTTTTTCGCTTCAATTTCAAATTTACATAATGCACACTCGCATTACGTATGCTTTGACTGTGGTGAAAGGGCATTTTCGTTGAAAATCTGCATTGAATCAACGGCACGACATTTTGCTATTGATTTAATGTAATCAGTCTCGTCGAAGACGACGATAGATATGTTCCCCGTTGTGACAAATGCGCATAAAAGAAAATCTAAACACACAAGTAGACAATAGAAAAGATTTTCATTCGAATAATAACATAAAACGGCGTATATTGATTACGTAATAAAATATGACAAATCGAAATGTTATTCAATTTATTCAGATTAGTTTCGATTATGTGTACAGTTAGTTGCCTATGTCCGTTTTGAGCGCATGAAAACAATACGCAGAAAAAAGAAAAACATAATTTATATGAATAAATTTGCCATAAAATCAGCGATGACACACATGCACATGCCATCACATAGAGAAAACCAATTTCAATTGAGTCATTTGATAAGAAGATTCGTTATTTATTGTGTATGCGTCCTTTTTTATTATTATTTCAGACGATTCCATCGATGTCACAAATGACGAAGAACCTGAACAGGAACAAGAAACAGATCATCAAAACACACCAATGCTACCAATGCCAAATTTTATGCCTCCCACATCACTGTACAATCATACACAAGAAACTGTGTATGAAACAAGTGCACGTTTGCTATTTATGGCTGTTAAATGGGCTAAAAATTTACCAAGCTTTGCCGAGCTTGCTTTTCGAGATCAGGTAAAATACTTTTTCTTTATAACTAAAACACGATTATTATTTCCTATTTTAATTTTGGATTTGAATTTTTTTTAAACGAACGATTGATTTATTTCCAGGTAATTTTATTGGAAGAGTCATGGGCTGAATTATTCCTTCTAAATGCGATTCAATGGTGTATGCCATTAGATCCATCAAATTGTCCACTGTTCTCGGTATCCGAACATTGCAATAATATAAACGGTAATACGAACAATCTGAGCAAACAGGAGCTTGCATTGGACATTCGTGTGCTACATGATACACTGTGTCGATTTAAATCGATTTTAGTTGATCCGGCTGAATTTGCATGCTTGAAAGCAATCGTTCTATTTCGATCGGAAACACGTGGCCTAAAAGATCCAGCGCCAATTGAAAATTTACAAGATCAAGCACAGGTAACTATAAAACACATAAATTTTAATATCACAAATTTAGATGGACAATTTCGTTCTTATATTATTACTGTTATTATGATAATCGTTTAAAAATAAAAACTGTAATTTTTCCCCTCATTAGGTTATGCTAGGCGAACATTGTCGACGTCAATTCCCAGCACCGAATGCACGATTTGGTCGTTTGTTATTGATGCTACCGCTGCTTAGAATTGTCAATTCACATCGTATCGAATCGATTTATTTTCAACGAACCATTGGCAATACGCCAATGGAAAAGGTGCTTTGTGATATGTACAAAAATTAAAGTGCACACCAAAACAACTGTACAATTGTTCAGTATTTTTGTGCTAGAAAATGTCAAGCCATGATTCAAATGTTTAAGTAAATATGTATATGTAATTTTTAACAATTTTCAATTGCACAATACACACACACACAAATGAAAAAAACAACAACAAAGAAATAACATTCGAAATGACCAAAGCGTAGATTGCCGCTTTGAGGCTGAGTTTTTTTTAGAGAGTAAGAAGGATATTTAGGAGGTTTGTTTTTAAAATTGACATAAATCACATATTTTATTTTATTTTAATCGTGAAAATTATTTTATTTGGTAGAAAAATCTCTGGCATTTATAATTTAAAAAAGTTTTCTGGCATATAGTTACCATGGCCCCTTTTTTACATAGGCCAATTATCCAATCCGTTTTTGGTCAATTTTATGATCATACCAGATTCTATAATCTTTTATAAATGGGTTAAAAAAAGAATTTCTGGTACATTTAAAGACATGGTAAACCAGTGGAAGTCCTGAACTCTTCATTTCTATACAAAAAAATGACACTTTAATTAACCAACAGTGTTTTTTTTAGATACGGCTTTTGTACCTAGATAGATATAGATAATTTACGGAAAATATTTAACCGAAATTCGAATGAAACATAGATATGAAAATATTCGTGAACGTTTGATTTCGTCGAAAATGAAAGAGAATGAAAAAATTAATGAAAGATAAAAAAATATAAATATTTGTTTTTGCTTGTATCGACGAAATTTTTTATTGAACGTCGGCTTCAGATTTGGCACCAGTCTCGAGACCAACCATGCTATTGTCTTCAGATTGTTCGATGACTGGAATTTGCTTTGAGCGAATTGTCATTGCATCGGCTTGAATTTAAAAAAAACAACGTCTATAAACGTCAAAAATATTTCAGAAAAATATGAATAAATATTTACCTGCAAATGATGCCTCTAGTTGACCAAAAGTGACATTTTATACGCCGTCGGCATTTTTGAGATATTTTTCTTAAAATGTCTCTTGGTGCCAACTTAATGACCATGAATGCCGTGATTGATGATTGTTTGCTTCCAAATATTGCCGGTAATCATCCGGAGCCATTTCAGTTCCAATAAAAAACCAAAATTTGCAAAGCAGCGACCCTTGATTTTAAAGCAAATTATTTAAGGTTGGTTGGCCAAGATTCGTGCGATCTGATGTCCCTGAAATATTTTTTGTGCAACAAATTGAAGTCATTGGACTATGTGGATAAGCTAACAACGATTAAACGCCTCTTGGTCCAATATCGGCCAATATTTATCACGTTATTCTCGAGTTATTGCCAACAATGTCCGAAAAAGTGACCAAAAATGAACTGACCTATGTAAAAAGTGTCCATGGTGACTGAATGCCAGAAATCTTTTTTAAATCATAAATGCCAGAGATTTTTCTTCCAAATGAAGAAATTTTAACGATTAAAATAAAATAAAATATGTGAATTATGTCAATTTTAAAAACAAACCTCTTAAAAAAATCCTTCATAATTACAAGTGATTCTTTCTTGCACAATGGAATAATTTTAAATTAAAGAAAGCATCCGAATAAGCATTTAGATAGTTTTATAAAATCGATTGGCCGGACGTGAGTTCGCGTGAAAATCGGAGAACAAGACAGATTCATTCATAAGAATGTTTAGAATAATATATTGAGATAAAGAATTAAATAAATATAAATTCAAATTAGATGATCACCATTATCATCCGCCTGAATCCAAGCAACTTTCCTTTAGAAATTAAATCCACTTTGTAAATAAGTAAACAATTAAGTGATGTTTGTTTGTAATGTATTATGTTCAAATATTTTTCTTTTCATTTTGTAATTGAATTAGGATATTTGTAATTTTAACAGTTTAGCTTAACATCATCATCATTCGAATGAATAGATTTTTATTTCAACTAACAGCCAACACATTGACAAATCTTTAGAGAATAATAGCAGTACGGGAAGTTACCACTTACACAAGATGGAATGAAAAATATCGAATTTCCTAGTTAAGCCTTTCGTTAAATTTGATCAAACATCTATTTTCAACAAATACAAAATAATTTTGATTTTATTTCACTTAAAAACCGAATTAATTTGAAAACTTTCGAGATAAAATAATCCAATATTGGAGTCAATTGCATAAAAAATGACTTTTTATCTCATATTCATACGCAAAATAATACTATTCTAATTATAAAATGTAGCATTAAGTTTTCATTGCGTGGAATAGCTAATGATTTAATCGTTATTCACACGATTTATAACTAAATACAAAGAAAATGATTTAAAGGATTAATAATGTAATTCAATTTGTGTAATCTATGACAAAAGTTTGCCTAAATATATAGTAAAATATTAATAAAAATGAATCATTGTTTCTTTTAAAATGACCATCAAAATGCCAATGGCATCTTATGAATAGGTAAATAAAGATATCGTAAGTAAAAGGTTCGTGATTTTGTGCATATATTTGGGGCATATACTTTTGGTATTCACAGATGGAAAAATCAAAAATAACCAGAGTAGAATTTTGCAGAATTTTTTTTGACATTTCTTTTTATGTAAATGTGTGCGCCGCAACTCTGGTTGACATTTCTTCTTTGACACCTTTGCCGGTTTACCCTTTTCAGTACTTTTTGGAATAGATTTTTCCAATTTTGCCGGCGTCATCGGTTTTTTATCTTTTGATTTCTCTTTCGACGAATCATGATTTTTAGAATAAAAATTGTCAATATTTTTTTATCTTAAAACACTAAACCAAAATTATTCATGTGCGGCAATTGAATAATTTGTGTGAACATTTTAACTTAAAAAAACATTGCCAATTGTTATTTTCAGAGAGAAATTGACAAATCACAAAAATTATTCAAGTGCTGCACTTGATATTCGTTTCGCCCGTTGTGGCGAAATTTTATACTACACCCGAAGAGTTAGCATTCGGTTTTTTTTCAATTACAAAAGTGTGTACACTTTTCATATACTTTATGAGTGTGTAAACACTCGGAGACTCGGTATAATGCACAAAAAAAGTGAATTTTTTTCGTTATTTTTGTGCACTATACCCAGTCTCCGAGAGTTTCATATAAGCCTGCCATGTAGTAGCAGAAAGACAGTCGAGAATATTGAGAAAAAAAAATTTCGTCTTTTCGACTGTCTTTCTGCTACTACATGGCAACCTTATCGCATTTTCTACCTTTTTGTTAGTACAAGAACTCTTCTCATACGTGTACGTCGACTTATTCGTGCTGAGACGAATATATACGTTTTCCGTGTTCATTTAAATCTGCCAGAACATTCATGTTTGTTCATTGAATGTCCGCCCACCTGAAATTTTTTTTTGTACCTCGCTCCCTATGTTCTAGGCAAACTGTTATAAAATTATAATTTTCACAAAAAAAATCACTTTTTTCAACATATTCATATAAATTGGCTCAAAAATAAAGTTTGCCTCCACAGATTTATCATGGATCGTAATAATGGCCTGAATTATGGCTGAATTCGGCGAATCTAATCGATTTTGTATGGAAATTGTATGCCGGGTCTCAAAGGCCCGATTTGCCCGTTTGTTTAAGTCTTTTGACCTGCACGGTTATGGGTTAATTTTGAATGCAAGACAACATTCAGTCTTTGAACAGACGTTCTGACGTCTAATATCGCGGATAGAATGGTGGAGACCGTTCCCAAGATGATACGTAAGATCAGTCAATTGGGAAATAAATGTGACTAAAGCGGGGAAAGGGGACTGGTTGGGGGCAGCAGCGCCTCCCAGATCCCACTTCCAGAGTATTGTTGCTAGCTGCAAAATAAAATAAAACAAACAAAAACTATTTTCAATTATGAAAAAACTAATACAACTCCGCACGGTTTGGGCATTTTAATTACCAGCTAAACCAGACTGATATGCGTGCGGTCTCTACACAAACATATTGTCCAAGATGTGATCGATATTTTCAGCTGTATTATCCACTGACTGTTGGGTAACCTGTTATGAATGACAATAAAAACAAATGATTAGATGAAAATAGAAACAACGACGAAAAGTGTATGAATCGGATTTTACATATAATGGTTTGCATTCAAAAAGCAACAATGTAAACAAATATAAAATGCGATTGGCAATTAAATACATTTTTTCCATCGATTTTTCAGTTTGGATTTTTGGGAGTTGGTAAAAGCCACAAAATTTCAAAATGCAAATTTATAAAATAAGTCGAAATAATGCGTCACATTTGATATAAGTCGTTTTCTAGATGAATGTAAAAAAACGCCACTCTATTTTCATTTCATACATAGCAGTCTGTTCATTCTGTCGATTATTACGAAATAGATAAGAAAACAATGGCAATTTTATCAACAGATGGAGATATTAACATAGAACAAAACACAAAAAGCTTGCGAAGCTATGATTGACAGTTATTACGTTGCATTCAAGCATTTAAAATTAATTGATGTTTAAAAACTGAAAACAAAATACGAACAAATATTAATAAAACTGTCGCACTTTTTCATTACACATATTCTCGATATGTGCCGCTTTTTGTGTATAACAGAGAAAAACTTCAATTTCCATATTGAGGATCCTAAGGTTTTCATGGGGCGAATCACGCTAGTGAATACTAGAAAAACTAGTAAATCTAGTGCGAAGAATGACGTCACAAACGAAGCCAACTTCACACCAAAGGCCATATAATTCATATGAAAAACTACTGAGAGCCAACTTCACGCACTAGAATTTTCTAGTTTTCTAGTGAAATCTTATCAAAAACTAGATGCACTAGAATTTCGTGATTGACCCCATGAAGGTTTTACAGTAGTATTTAATTTATTCTAAAATTGACCTCACAAAAAATGAATAACTCAAGTTCATTTTGGGAGGAAGCTTTGCAAACTACAAAGAAAACCCCTCCATTCGTATGTCTCGTAATATTCAAGCCAATTCCCTACAAAAATTATATTACTTGAAAAAAAATATATATTTTTTCAATTTCATTATATTTATTTACAAGGCTAAGTAATAATTCATTTTAATGCGATTGCGCTTTCAAAGACGTCATAAAATATGGTAAAAATTATAGAGTTTCTTATCACTATTTCGATGTTTGGTGTTATAAATACGGTGTTTTTCTCAGATTTTGTTGCAGTGTTAAAATCACTTACACTTTAACTATTTGTTGCTCGTTCGGAAATTGGCAATTGAAAAAATGGCAAATGCGATTTGCATTATTCTTGTATTAGCCGTCTTTTCCCATCAAGTATGTAAAAGTTTTGACATATTTTTTTCAATTAAATTAATTTCAAACAAAATTTCAGACAAACAGTATTATATTTTCTGGTCTCGTGAATTTAAAGTGCAATGCTATCAAAGAGTTTCTTGGGGTGAATCCAATCTTGTGTCAACTGATATCAGATGATTCAAAACCTTCAACAAAAAAACGAATTGAAACAGCTTCAAAGAAAATTTTGATCGATCCCGCATCAAGTGATTTAATAATAACGGATTCTCCAACAACGAAATCCCCCGGAACGGACTCTCCCAGAACGGAATCACCAACAACGGACTCTCGATCAACAGAATGTACAACTGACTCTCGATCAACAGAATCTACAACTGACTCTGCATCAACAGAATCTACAACGG